CGTTCAGCGTACTGTCGAAGTGTCTCTTTAGCCGTACGCAAAACCACCTGGTGCAATTCAAATGTACTACTGTCAGTCTCAACACACAACGGACATTCTAACACATTTGTGCGAATTCCACAATTCCGAGGAGGCTCCTGCCCCAACCCAAGCGCAATTCCAACCAAAAGTATACTAAGAAACGTGTGATTAGGCATGCAAACATCACACGATATGGATCACTTCATGAGTCAGGATTCATGCAATGCTTCAAGTTAGCATCGCACAGACATGGTTCTGTCTGCCCCATTACAAATCTCTAAAAGTTTTAATCCAGACTAGTCGCATCGTCACATCAGCTAGATATTTATACTCATGGAATCTCGATATTTATTACTTAGTATGTTTAAAAAATACATCAGTCCCTTATGATTCCTCGAATTTTTACTTATGATAGACTTTTCGTGTTATAAGCGGTCAAAGCACTGAACTTAGCTCTACTCTCTTTAGTTTTATAGATATTTGAATTTAGGGTGTTGTAATTGTTAAGCAATGGTTATTGGTATATAAAGGCTAAAGGATTATTTGAAGTGTATTATCCAGCAGTATTTGTTACTGGAAAATGTTGAATGTTTTACTTAAATGTCCATGGCGTTTAACCGTTTTTTGAATCTCCAATGGTTTTTTGGTAAAATATATAATGACCAGTCTTTGTGTTTGCTTAGCCTTAAAACGAAACCTATTTATTTAATTTTATTCAACTCGCAATCATCCAGTGTATTGATTTGTAACGACACTGTAGCTACGAGAGTTAATTCAGCGTACAAAGCCGCATGCTGTCATAGCAATCTCGGTTTATGTGTCATGCCTTTATTGTTAATGTCGACGTTAATGACAGCTTTGACGAATTACGTCAAATTAAAACTTCATGCTGTTGTTTGTTTATTTGCTACCATTCCCTTAGTTTTGAGTTGGACAAATTTCATTGTCTAATACTTTTTTAGACTAAATACCTGAATTTAGCTACAAAAATAGCATATGACAGCATCGGTTACAAATTATATTAGTTGTCTCTGCATCGATTTATTCCATCGCATTTTAGGTTTTATCAAAACTGCTTCAACCAAATTTTAATTAATAGTTTTAAAATTTTATAATAATGTTAAGTTAAAAATCCCTTAAATAGAAAACTCAACGTTTGTTTTACTTAGTTGTAATAAAGTCACTTAACTTGAGTTATTGCCCAATAGGGATGTCTTTCGTACCAAATTTCCCCCCTTCTGTCTTGCGTAAATTTGGTGATCAAGAGTCTGAAGATGGCAAGAAAAAAACAAAGGAAGACTTTAAAAGGATGAAAGAATTGGAAGAAGCTCGGAAACTAGCCGTGATGCCTGCAATGAAAGATGAAGATGGTCGGGATATCAACCCTCATATCCCTCAGTATATTATGCAGGCACCTTGGTACTACGGATCATTAAAGCCAACATTAAAGCATCAGCGTATGCAAGATGAAGAGAAAAGGGAAGCGCTTTCTGGTACTGCTAAAGGTTCGTCTGCACTCAATAAATGGTACAAGAGGGGCATTGTTCCTGATGCTCCACGGGCTAAAAAGTATCGCGATGGAGCTTGTGAAAATTGTGGTGCGGCAACGCATGATCGCAAAAACTGTCTTGAACGACCGCGAAAAGTTGGTGCTAAATTCACGGGTGTAGACATTGCCCCTGACGACATTGATCAGGATGACATAAAACTAGGGTACGATGCTAAGCGTGATAGGTGGAACGGCTATGACCCGCGTGAGCACCAGCGATTTGTAGCTGAGTTTCAGCGTTTTGAGGAGGCTAGGAAATTAGTAAAGGCGAAAAAAATCGAGGAAAAGTTGGCTGCTGCCGCTTCGAAAAGTGATAGTCAAGTGAGTGGACGATTGTACATTTCTAATATGATGCTTTTAGGATCCCGGATCTTCGACTGGACCTAATTTGGATGATGAAGAAGGTGATGATGATCGCTACGGAGAAGAGTTAGATATGCCGGGACAGAAATTTGACAGCAAACAGCGCCAGTCAATAAGGAACTTACGAATTCGAGAAGATACCGCTAAATACCTTTACAACCTTGACCCCAACAGTGCTTATTATGACCCTAAGACACGGTCGATGCGCGAGAATCCATTTGAGAATTCTGGAAAACCAGAATCAGAAGTTCCATTTGCTGGAGACAACTTTATCCGCAATGACGGCGACGCACCTGCAATGCTACAGCGGCAAGTGTTTGCTTGGGAAATGCAAAACAAGCTAGGTCTTGATTTACACCTTCAAGCAGATCCGACACGCCTCGAACTACTTGCGAAAAAGGTTTCAATGGCTAAGGATCAGGCACATTCGACTGTACGCGAGGAGATATTGGAGCGTTACGGCGGACGTGAGCACTTAGAAGCACCTCCGCGAGATTTACTTATGGGGCAGTGGGAAAGCTACGCTGAATACGCACCGACCGGTCGGGTTCTTAAAGGCTCCGAAAGGGTTACGGTTAAATCACGCTACGAGGAAGATGTCTTTTTGAAAAACCACAAGGTATATCTTATTCATAAGCAGTTAGTGCGTCCACTTGATGCTCAATCGGCTCCTAAAATAGGATGTTAGATCTGATTTCCTTGATGTTTTTGTCAATCAGTTAATTAAAATACCGTTATTTCTATCTTTATACCTAAGTACCTGGTTCTTTTCTTTGAAAAATGTCACTGGACCATTTCCCCCCCATATTGTTTTACTTTTATAATGCTTAATTGCATATTTTTATTTACGGAGTGTTGTGCGTAGAAGGCAAAGTACTTTTCAAAATTTGTTTACCTTTCCCTGAATCAATGGGAATGCTGCATTTACTGTATTCTGGACGTTGTTGAGTGAGTTCTAGTGTTTAAAATAAGCATAATTTATTAAAAGCTTCTTGTTCCTCTTGAGATGCGCATTATTTTTAACAAGTGTTACTTTTAACATAATAAAAGTGCGTACCCATTATAAGTAAAATCAACCTTAGTGTCAAGTTCCTTCGTGTTAGATTCGCTTACATTTGTAGTAATGGTATTTATGTCAGTTATTTATATCTGATTCGTCACGTTTGTGTACATACGGTTAGGTAATGCCTTTTTCCTATTACTTTAGTCTGTGTGGGGTTCTTATTGGTACGCGGGTCAGTGGGGCTACCGTTGCTGCCACTCCCTGATCAAAGAATCTTACTGTACTGGAGACAAGGGGAAGGCAGTTACCAGCTTTACCACTTCAAATGATCCCACATCCACGAGCACTACTGATCTCCCTGAAGTGCCCGCTGAAGCCCAGACAGGTTCTAGTGTTCTGGCTCCTCTATTGTCCATCCCTAACAACGCGGAAAACACCACACAAAAACATTCAGACACAGACGATGAGGACCGAAATATGGAACGAATACACCAGCGGGAGGTAGATTTCGCACGATCAAAGGAGCGTCAAGAACGACGCGCGAAAAAGCGAAGGGACAAGAAAAAGAAATCTAAACATGGCAAAAAACGGAAACGCAGTTATAGTTCAAGTGATAGCAGCATTAGCAACAGCTCGGACGATGAAAATGATTCTCGGGAAAAGCGAATCAAAGCTGAAATAGAAAAGGAGAAAAGAAGGCTGGCGGAAGTGGAACAGATGATGCTGATTGATGAGCGGAAGCGGCCTTACCACTCTCTGTCCGCCAATGATGGCCATGTTCCCACACAGGAGGAAATGGAAGCTTACTATCGGCTCCGACAAAATCCCAACGACCCCATGTCACACTTCCAGACCTAGCCGTCGGTTTTTAGCCGAAGTTGTGTACATACTGTAAAAATACCCGCTAACAGTACTTACTATTTCTTAGAAGTGTATCATACTTTTCAGTGTGTTCGTTTACAGGGTCATGTTAACCATTTCTTTACAAGTATACGTAACAGCACGTCGATTTAGCCTTCCCCAGATTCAGCACACCGATTCCACTTAGTATCACCAGACTTACACTATCTTATGGCTACCAAAACAGCCGTCGACAAACCCACGAATATTGCGTTATGCGAACCAACCGTGGGTGCCGTCAATAATTTCTAACGTTGAATTCCGCACAAGGCCTTCTCTAGGCATTTAAATCACGCAAGATCAGTGCTACTGACGGTGAAAACTCAGCCAGGCCGATCTCACGTGGCAGCCTCCGTCACGTTGTAATTTGCCCTTTGATATAATGCACATTGCAACAATCCCCAAAGTAGACTTCACTTAGTTATATGGAGCGGTAGAATTAAAAACTGCCTGCTTTAGTGCGGAAGCATTCCCTAGTTGAAGTTAGGAAAGGCAATAACCTGATCATTTGCTATGGTTCAACCAATCATCCTCTATAGTGGCATACTTAAGGTCAATCAGCTCCCGAAACTTGGGTGCGGTGTAAACGGTTCACGATTTGGGACTGATCGGTCAATGTGGCTCTTACAGTTTGCCCACGCAGCATCAGTGGACGAAAAAGGACAACTAGTGTTTCTTAAAGAGATTCATTAATCAAAATAACAAGAAAAAGATTGTCAGCAAAATTTCAGATTTTACCACAGTAAAAAATGTCATGAAGAGTGGAATCATGGAGGTTACGCATTGACACTAACGACTTGAGAGGTTGGGGCGTCAAACGTGCCTGCAGACGTTGGTAACTGTGAGCCTAGCAACGGGCTACCTTCATGGGCTGTTAGAGAATCAACACTTGAGGTTTCTTCCCGTGTGGTTGGAGTGTCTGCAGAGTAGGGGGGCGCACAGGGAAGACAGTCCAAGCGCAGAGTTTTATTGAATATCAGAGTGCCCATAACAAGCAGGGCGAATCCATCGACTTAAAACGAGGAGAAGACGATGTAAGAACTATTGCCATTCGGGGACAGAGGCGTAACCGAGCAGTTAAGTCTGGGTGTGGACTAGACTCACTTTCGACTAGGCTCCAGCCAGAGTGAAAAGGCTCACCGTACTGGTGTCCAACGACATAGAAGAGGAAAATGCTGGTGATCCAGATAAAAATTGAACGTAGTGCATCAAGAAGACTTCTGTGAACAGCTGAAAGACAAGGTTGCGGCTGCAGCTTGTGATGAAATTGGACAGCAACCATAGAGATGGGAATCGTGAAGTTCACAACTTAAATTGAAACTGAACGGAACAGCCATTCAGTTCCGCTATGAGTCAATAAGTATCAGAAATAGACAAAAGGTGGCATTAGCTTCTTGAAAATGGATCATATCTGTTGGCGGACACTCCTACAGTGAAATATTTGTTTAGTCTGTTGATAGTTATCAAACTCCAATTGAAACGGACTATGTCATTTATGTTTAACATAGAAATAAAACTTCTGGATACGAACAACTAATTGGGTCCGTAAAGGCCAGTGAGGTAACCCGACAGCCATTCAGATATCGGCAAGAGCGGTTCTCGGGCATCGGTGGCCAAATGATTGCCGACTAATGAAAAAAGATCTGATCTTTCCATTACGTTCTAACTCGTGACCGCGTTCAAGTCACACTTTGCCTCAATTGTCTCCCGTGGATGAGTTTAATAGATAGTAATAAACCTGAATCAGTTTGAATTTGGCGAGGTGAAGATTTTAAAAGGGTGCGCAGATCATACAAACCCGATAGGTGATGAGTAATAGCAAGCCCAAAGTAGTTGAAGAATGCGATCGAGAGGATAAGAAGGATGGACGTAAAAAGAAGGGCTGGGCTTTGCATCGTCTGGAAAATGGCGTCCAACTGGTTCTCGAACGAGCCATTTAGATCAGCGCCCGGGGAGTGGTGGATGATTGGCAAAATAATCTAACAGGTCACAGAATCAAAATTAAGACCAATATCAAGACGTTAACTTGTAATACGATAGAACTACAGAAAATACAAAACCGCGATATGAGCTCTATTCAAGGATTACTATCAAGGAAAAGTTTCGGCCTAAGGCTAGGTGCATGACTTGGTACCGTGACAAAACAAAGAGCAGTTTTAATGACACACAAAGAGCAGCCTATATAGGCTGGAGCAGAAAAAATAGAAACCAAAACTGTCAGTAAATTCTTTTACGGTTTTAAGTTCTTGTCAGAACACAAATTCGCCAAAACTAACAGATGTATTCGGAAGTCCCACACCCTCACAGGGTAAACTCAAACAGGTGTCACATTTCCACTGTCATAACAGATTGACAGACCAGATCGCGAAGATTCTGTGAAACCCAAACCTAATAGGTGCAATTAGATGTTAGAGCTCAATGATTGCTTCAAGTAAAATTGCAAACAAATAAGACTCAAGAAAACAACGAGTGCAGTATTTTGCTATGCATATTACTAAATAAGGCGAATAACTTTACGAATGAAAACTGAATAACAATAAAGTGGGTAGGTTGAGGAAAGGGACAGCAAAGGAGGACAGTACCAGAAAAGGCGAAGTTCATTAGTGTTCTTCAGTACGATGCCTTTGTATTTATTCAAGTAAAGTTACATGACACCGATTGGCCAATGACAGAAAAAAGCATGTAGCAAACGCGGAAACAACGCTAATATAAACAAGGTTCAATTCGCAAATGCGATGTTTCGCGTAAAAGCGTGTGGTGTAGGCGGACGAGGGACAGGGTGACGGCACACAGTCACTGTTCATCACAATACAGACAAAGGTTTTAACCAGTTAGGGAGCCTATCCTTAAGATCAAAACGATAAAACCGATCGCACGAAATGGGTAAATAATCCACACTGCGGTCACATGAAATTCCGATTCAGTTCCGAGATATGAGAGGCACGAGTAACCTAGGACCTCAAAATGTTTTTGGAACAATGAAACATGGTCCTGTTGGTCCTAAGATCACATTACGCGCGATCAACGCATGATGCAATCAAAAGACTAACCGTTATGAATATTTACAAACGGTTTTATAAAATTAGAGGTGACATGATTGAAATATACGCTTTAACAACCTTCTGCAAAATGAACTAATTACCTCGTAAAAAAGCCAAAACAAAAATAAATACACTAATGGCTACTTTCAAGATAACATGTTTGCAGTAAACTTCACCAGAATAGCATAAATCAGGGGAGTTAAAACCCAAAATAGGCTTTACTACCAGTTACATTGGTAGCCGGGTCCAAAATGCCATGCTCACTGCCACCACACAGACGACTCACAAATCTACAGTAATTCAGACAAATTGTAACTTCTGACAAGACATTAATGAGAAGTGTCCGCGGTGGTGAAAGTTACCGATGTGGTTGAACGTAGTAGTTTTGGATGGCATTTTACTAGTCGTTTTGCAGAAATTAAACATCGAGAGGCCACGACATTAAATAGAATAAGACAACTACATAATGAATGCGAAGCAATTAGTACGATGTTAGGAGGAAAAGCATAATTTGGAAATGCTAAATGCAGCTAATGTAGCTAGTTTAATTAGCTAGAAGCCAATATGAGGGGGTTTAAAACCCTCCAAAGAGAGCGATCTCGAGACCCAGTACATACCTGATGAGGTACAGTTCCAAACACGTCTAGAAGAAATAAAACGTAGCATACGGACAAAATTGCAACCATAACTATCAGGCCATTTTGTGAAGTTCTAAATGGCATTAGACAAGAAGAGTACATCATTTTAGGTCCAAATTAAAACGAAAAAACAACTAGACGATACAACTGAAGCATACCAGTCAAAACTTTGCTTGGCCAAACTAAAAAAATAAACGCTTCCTCAGAGTGGAGGATATCAGCTAGAATTAAACTGGTCTTACAATACTGCAGTCAATTGGAACGATGAGGAGCAACTGACAAAATGAAACGACAACGACACGTCAACAGTCGCACAATGCAAAAAAAGTCGGCGGAATACTTGTAGGTGCAAATTCTAGTTTTGCTGTTTTCACCACTTTCTAACTCTGCAAAAGTTATGATGAAAAGAGGAACAAGACTTAGGACTATCAAAGGGCAGTCCGACGGCGCACTTGAAATTAATGCAAAAAAGTTATGCGGCAGAAGGAAAACAGACATAATTTTTGATTTGTACATTTTCGAAATCACCTAAACTAAAAAGATTTCTAGATGACAGAAGATACTGCTCGAGGACCAGCCGGCATAACAAATAAAACCAAATTACATAACTCATACTGAAAATTTGCTTTTCAAGTAGCAGGGACGAGGTGCATATTTGCACCAAAGGCCTGGCGAAATCTGGATTTTAAAATTCATCACGAAAAGACCTAAGATTAAGCACAATAGCCAAGTAGATATTCTCGGTTAAATAGAATCTACTCAGGCAAGCTAGAATGCAGCACGGGAAATGTACGAATTCCGAAATCAACTAAACAAACTACTTGGGTAATTCAGAATGCAAACCGAAAAATTCAAGAGAAATATCAGAGCAATTACTCACAGACAACGTGAATTAAGAACGAGTAGGACAAAATATTTTGAATCAGTTCATCAATATTAGCCAACAAACAACCACAATAACCAGAAGGCATCAAGAAAAGGTGACTTACGAAGCCCATTACAAAAACGCCAAAAAACCCCTCCATACCAACGACGTGAAGGGGGAGGTAATTCTTCTTTTTCAAAAACACCTCTTCAACGATAATTTGTGAAGCAGTAGCAAAGCTGCCCAATAGAACCAGGAATACGCCTATAAGTAAGTTCGGTGTTAATGTCACGGTGATAATAAGTAAACGATCATGACGCACATACCAAGCGCTGCGTGAGCAGGTGAAGTAATAAAAGTTTCGGCTGAAGGCTCAAAGAGAGAAGCGGCTCCAACTAGTGCCAACCCACATACGGTTACCAGCATACCGACCCATTGAAAGTAGAGGAGCCTACGCTTTAAAAAGACCACCTATGGGAAAGAACGTAAGGGATTGTGAACTTATCTTCAACAAATCGATCAGAGCTAAGAAATCTTAGGGAATTTACGGAAAGAATGCCAGCGAAGACTATTATCGAACCGCGAAGCATCTGCCAGACAGATGCATCGATGTACATTAGGCCAATACCTACCAAGCTCAGTCGATTATGAAACTTACCCTGCAACGTAGAACCGGCTATGTCACAAAGAGCAGGAAGAATGAAAATCCAGTCACACACTCTGTACGACAAATGAGAAAGAGAAATTAACATTACGGTTTGGAGAATGAAGATACTTCCCATTGTTCACGGAGAAATTCGCCCTCAGGTGTTTTAAATTTTCGCTTCACAAGCCATGTGTAAAAAAGGTAGCCAAACAAGCACAGCACTTCACCAACAAACATTAAATACGTTTGGAACCAGGCTTTATTAAATGGATGCGCTGTTTTCGCTCCACCTGCAGATGCGTTGTAGTAACCAGGAGCACTTATAAAATAACATTAAAGGAATGACAGGCAAACCTGCATCCATATTGTACTTTTTTGGCGACAGTATTGATAGTTCCGGTTATAAATAATCCAATGATAATAACCACCACTTTCAAAGAATCACGCATAGCCTAGCGTCGCCACAACCTCTAAATTAGTTGAAAAAAAGGACGAACATTTCCGGTAATTTAAAGAAATTGTTCAACCCGGCATAGAAATATCAAGTGGCTTTTATATGATTATGTTGCGTTTAATATATCGACATTCATCCACAAGACTTTAACTTTGACATCGGAGCTATTGTGCTAAACTATTGAAGCAATTCCGCAAACGTGATATAAGTAACAAAAAAATAATTGTATAATTGCAAAGAATACCTTAAATTTACGACTCGGGATAGTCAATAATACGTTATATTTGAGAACTTAGGATCTCATTTATTCCATCTCTCACAGTGTGTTTCAACAATGACGCTGATTACGACGTCAGTAAACTTTCATTACTCCTTGTTTCAATTAAAAATCAATCGAAGAAGTAAACATATTTTAATTAGGTAGCTCTTCACTGTCGGGAATCAAAAGCAATCAACACCTTGTGGAATATTTCACTGCAAATGTGCACGTTTTAATTGAAGCTGTTGGCGATGTACTTAGGCACAATAGGGTTAATGAAAAGAAAATTTTTATACATGCAACTGGAAATTGTGTGTATGCCTTAATTCAGTTATAAATTTAATAATTTGAATGTTTGATGCTACTTTTCACTGGAGTTCTAAAATGGTTACATTGCTTAGTACTGAATTAGTACATTTTAAGGAACATGCAACTCAGTATATTTGCTACATTAGCTGTATCTTTAAAATTATTTGCATACTTTGTCGAATTGGCTTCAGGGACCCTATTCTAATGGATTATTGCAAGCATTAATACACTTATTACAACCTTACACTTATCAAGTTTAAACTAGACATTTTAACACGACAAAATTTGTTTTGTGTTTGTTTACTACTTACGAGTGTTGAATTGCTTCCAAAAGGCTGCCTCGTGCTGGGCCACATAGGCACTTTT